TGTTTATGACTAAGATTTGTGGGTTTAAGAATTGAGATATTTGAGTTTATTATAATTTATAAAAATAAAATTTATAATTTTTTTATTAATTTATGGTTCTCCATTAGAATCCGCGGGGCAAAAGAAATTTTTCACAAAATTTTGTGCAGAAAAAATTATCTTCGTTCCCACCCCACAAGAAAAAATATCTTGAGAATCTTTTTATCCTTACAACAAAGTTTTTATAAAGTTTTCTGAGTTGTGAAGAAAATTGTCATCCCTAAACTTTAATTATTCAAGTGGTTAATTCAACATTATTTATTATGGTTCGAAATTTTTTCAAAAGGAAGAAAAAGGTAAAGCAACTATTGTTTGAATGACTGTAAACAAGAAAATATGTTCTGAATTTTAAACTAATTAACTAGAAATATTCTTTATTTTTTGTATGAGATTAATTTTTATGGGTTAGATTTATTAAAAAAAATTAAGTTAAAATATTTAAAATTATATTTTTAATAAAATATTAAAAAAAAACTAAAACAGTCATATTTTAATTTTATAAACTAAGATGCTTTAGTTTATTTTATGAGAATTAATTAAAAGAACATAATTTTAAGTAACTTTTTTACTTCTTTTTTTTTTTTTTGCTGCATGGCTAATAAATAATATTTTTTTCTGTTTTTTATGATCTTTACTTGTGTATTTCACTTAGAAGCTTCTTTTTCTTTTCTTTTCTTTTTTTTTAAGAGGATAATTTGGAAAAAAAAGAGATAGGATTCATGAGATTTGAAAACGCAATTGACGGGAAATAACTCTCATTTAGTCAAGAGTTTTGTCCACTAAATTGAAGTGTGGGGATAGAATTGAATAACTGTATAATAAGATAAAAATGTAAGTTGGTAAGAAAAATTTTTCAGTAGGATTTTCTTCTCCGTACAGCAACATTGGAACGAATCTTAGACCATAGAAAATTCATGTTCATACCATCCTGCCACGGTGGGGGTGATAATTATCATTTTTAATAACCTCTAGGCAGTAGAATTAATTTATAAAATGTGTGGTTTAAAGCGAATAAAAGAGATCAGAAGAGGAGAAAAAAAAAAATTTTCACTAATCAAATTATAATATTTATAAACATTATAATTTCAATAATTAAAAAACTCTCTCATCTCCTTATTCATTTTTCATAATTCAAACATATTATTAGAATATATTTGATATAACAATTTGAAATTAATAATTAATAATTACTAATTATTATTACTTAGTAATTCAAATATTTCTCTTCATTGAATTAATTTTGGTTGTACCAAAACAAAAGTAGTGTAACCTTATTTTATTTTCGATCGATTGTTCAAGAATTAGTTAACTTGATTTTTAGCCTAGTGCAATATCACCGGTGGGGTAAAGTGTGCCCCTTTCCTTGAGTTTCAAGCCAAGAGCACCAACTCATGGCTGATAGTCATTCACCAATAATGCAAGTTAATCTTTTATTTTGATATCATAATATCATATTCATGTCTTCAAGTCTGGCTGTACAATAACCGCACCCAAATTACTAAAATATTATTAATAAAATAATGTAAAAATGAGTTTTTATTAATGGTACTTTAATAAAAATTTATCTAATTTATACTGTTAAGACATATAGTAAAGGTAAAATAAAGATATTTTTTGTAATTAATTTATATAAATATTATAAAAATTAATATTCATTTTAATACTATCGACATGTAAATTATTTTAATTAATTAATTAATTAATTAAAAGTTAATATATTTATATATTTTATATAAATTAAATGTAAAGTAATACATTAACTACATCATTAATCTACGGCCTTAAGGATAGAGGTTAAAAAAACTGTTTTAGTAAATTTATAAATGTACTATACATTTCGACCTAAAAAATATTTTTTATATATATGAGTTAAGATTCATTTATATATAAATTTTATATATTATACTTATACAAAATCTTAATTATTTATCTCTTGACTTTTAATTATTGAGATTTTTCATTTAAAAAGTTATAATTAATTCACTTTTTATTATATTTGTTAAAGATAATTTATATTTTTCATGTAAAAAAATATAATAAATTTCAATTATTAAATATAAAAAAATTTATGTATAAATACATTCTAACATTAAACAAAGTGTGCTTAATGAGTACTGAAACATTAAATTAAAGGAGAAACAAGTGGAAATTTACAGGAAAAGAAAAGAAAAGTCTTAATTGAAGGTCAAAAGTCAATTAGATGATGATCAAAAGGACTGGAACAAACAATCCTCACCGAATAGATAAGCAATTCTTTCCATCCTCCATGGATCTTTCTTATCCTTTCCATCATGATCATAAGTTTCATCATCAGGCAGTAGCTTAAGCCTACACAAGGGACAAGTTACGTTGTTTCCCTCATCCATCCACCTATCCAGGCACTCCTTATGGTAGACATGGTTACAGTTCATAAGCTCCCTGATTTCTTCACTCCCGTTAATTGAACCCAAACATATTGCACAATCATGATCTCCAACAGCTCCTTGTTGTAATCTTGAATATTTTCTGAATTCGATCACTGGAAGTGTCTCCTTTATCATGTTTGGCGCAATAATGCTTGTGTAAGGCACAGGCAGTAGAGCTGGTGATGGGCGTTCTTCTTCATGTAATTGTATAATGGAGCTGTGTTCTTGAAAGATGTTGGGGAGTAGAAGTTGGCTGATGAAGCAGAGAAGATGAGATACCATGAAAAAGAGACAATATTTTAGGTGAGAAAAGAGGTTTGGGAGAAAGACTATAGCCATGAAACCTGAGAACAGCTGTATAGAGATGGATAGAACGATAGATGCAACAAATCGCAATAATATATAGATAATTAAGCGGGATGAAAAAAAAAACCAATGGGGACGAAGGCATTTATGATTTTGGAAGGAAGCACAACTACTTTTTCGGCAGACAGAATGAATATTATTCTCAATAGAATCCCCTTATAAATATAGGAGTAAGGAGTTAGTTATATATAAGTTTTACTTTTTATATTTGTATAAAATTATGATTTTTTTTATTTATAATAATTGAAATTTATTTTTTATTATATTTATTAAACATAATTATTTTTTAATTAAAAAATTAACATGTATTTATATGTCATCAATTAATTTAAGGAAAATACCATTCTAAAATATTTGAACAGTTACCATGTCACTTAAATAACAAAATAACTAAAATTGTATAGTTTTTTGAGTTGAAAAAAAAAAATATATATATATATATATATATAAATAAAGAATGACCCTTTCCCATTAAATTTGAACTGCTACCATGTCATCAAATTTCAAAAGGTTTGAAATTGGATCTTCTCCTTTAAATAAGGATGGCCCTTTCCCATTGACCATGAGAATAATTTGTCCTACAATATATATTAAAAAAAACCGTGTCCACCAATCTGGATTTTTGGTTTCATTCAACCCTTGAATGGAATTAATGGCACAAACACTTTCTTTAGAAAATCTAACATCCATAAAAATAACAAAAGGACATATGGATTAAATATAAAATGGGTTATTTTATTTATTATCAATTAAATTTAGATTAGTTATAAAATTTGTGTTGAATCTCATATGATCAATTTTTATATAATATTGGAGCCCATATTTCATTTTAAGAAAACTCAAGATGCCATGATAATTCAGGCCTATATGAGGGGAGGGCATATTAAACCTATTCATTAACTTAAAATTCCCGTGACAAATCAAATCGATATACGAGGAGGGCTTCTTAAATTTGTAACCACTTGAATTTAATATTAACTTTTCACATGAAAAGGATATATCATGAGAAAAAATACAATTGATAAGATAACGAAGGAGACATTTATGAGTTAAATATGATCATGGGGTCACTCCACCTATTCTTGATTTGTTCTAGAAGAACATGTTGTTTAACAACCCCATCTACTCTTGATTTTTTTTGGAAAAAGGCCATCTACTCTTGATTTTGATCTTGAAAATCATGTTGTTGAACATGGAAAATTACAAGGGCATGTTGATTTGTTTTTTTTTTTTTTTTTTTTTTGTTTACTACTCGGTATCCGAGGCTTTGCCCCTACTAATTCGTACTCGACCCATGTCACGTACCTGGAAATGGTGGGTGAGTCTCCCAGTGGGAGTTACTGCGTACATCAGGTCTCGAACTCGAGACCTTACTTAAACTGAAACAAGTCGCTTACCACTTGATTCAATCTCTTGTTGGTCATGTTGATTTGTTGCCTTGGGCTGGGTTTGAACCCATAACTAACTCAAGAGGACACCAAGCCTTAACCCTAAGCTTTGCCGGTGAACCAATTGGGCCTTGAAGTCCGGTTCCCGTTAGGGCACTAGAGAAAAACAAAAATCGTTCGAACTGTGAGCCACATTTTAAGCTTTTTCCCAACTCAGGCCTAACGGCTAGAAAATACTTTCTCATCGGAAACCTCACGGCTTACACCCATAAAACCCTAACAATGGCGTCGATATCCTTCACTCTTGGTCTCTTTAGATCGGCCAATTCCAGACGTGAATTAAGAAGGACTCGGATTATTTCTGAGGAGATATAGGGTTTTTTATCCGGGTTGTAATCGGATCCCATGATCGTAGAGAAAGCTGGAATTGGGGATTTTGGGTGACCCCAGGAAATGGTTGCTTTGAAGATGACAGAGAATTGAAGGCGGACACACGGAGAGAAGGAGAGGAAAGAATCGAGCGGCCGGATTGTGATCTCTGCAACTAAACCCTTAGGGAAAGCTGGTTCGAATGAGAAAAATTTCTCTCTAAATCAACGGATTCTGAAGCTTGAAGATTGAATTGAGAAGGAAATTCAAGATTTTATTTGCATCCTTCAGGTAATTTTTTGTTCGCTTTTCTACACTTTCTTTGTTTTTGTTTTGAGGATGCCATGGTTATAGTGATGATTGGGCTCTTGGATTGTGGATGTATATGTTTTGCTAATTTGGATTCCGATTTTGTTACTTCTAAAGCATCAAAGTTATTCTGGTTATGATTTTATTTTTGCATCGGTTTTGTTAGTTTTACCTTATCTTTTGTTAGATGAATTGGGTGGGTGAATTAGTTGGTTTGATTTCATGTTTATTTGAAAATAAATCTTGAAATTGTGATTTTGGTCGTCATATTCTTCATTTGTTCTTGAGGAGCTGCAGTCTTGATCTGAGGTTGAGAATATATTTGCCTTTTATTATATTTTTTTATCAAAAACCTACTCTTTGATCCATTTAGTTTTAGGAAGTGAGGTTGACAATGTTGATGGGTTTGGATATGAATTTGAGTTTTGAGTGATGTAACTGGTTTTAGATAGTGCGGTAGATCATAGATAGGCAACTGATAGGGTTTCAGTTTCCATTTCCTCAAAGGACTTTATGACACACTTCCACTACTGCATGCTAAATGATGTCCTGTTTTTATACATTTGATGATTATGTAATGGGAAATTGACTTTAATCACTTTAACCTGAAGAATTTTGATCAACAACTCATGGATGGAAGTGCATTGTCTATCAAGCTTTTTAACTTGCCCAGTGTATGTGATTTATCAGTTTCTGTAGTTATTATTTTCGGGGAGGGCACATCAACGAAACTAGAACTCCCAACTTGTCTATTTCAATGATTTTGGACTTCTTTTTGTCTTCCTTTTTAATTGTCCATTTGAGTTTCCTTCTCCACCTTGGCCACTTTTCTTCAATTCTTAATTTTAGTGTATATAGGAGTAATTTTTATGATCTTTTAGTCCACTTTAACTTTTGCTTTCTTAATTACTGTTCTGTTTTAAACTAATATCTTTCACTTGGACCTGCCATCTACCATGTTTTGCATGTTACATTGTTTGTTTTTTATTTGATTACTTACTGATGAGTGTTATTGATTTGGTTTATTTGCATGATTTACCTTGCTTGCAGGGAGAGGAATATACGGTGCCAAGCGGAGATTTTGGTCCAAAGCATTTCCTTAATATCTCTTTTTCATTTTTTTGTTTTTATATTTGTTCATCATGAATTGTATTATTTGATCTGAAGTGGATTGATATTTAGTTTACACTTGACACACACTGAGCACAGAGTTAGTGAGGCCTCAACATGCATGGCACATAATGTCACTACATGGTTTAACTAAGATTTAAAAATCTGAGTATGAGATATGATGTAACCCCGCAAGGGATTATAACTTTTTAGAATAACCTACCAGTGTCCACAATATGGGTTGAGAACTTTAAAGTGAGAAGGATTGTGGAACCATACTCGATATTCTTTGCTATCACATAGTTGGGAAGAGTAGACTTTATGAGGTTCGGTTATAGAAATGTAATGGCCAGTGTACAGGTTCAACCGCATGTTAGTCTCAGTTGAAGGAGTCATTTCCTTGGTAGTGATCTTGGGATCGATTGCTTGTTATATTGCCACATTACTGAGGTTCTTGATCATCAGATTAGCTGGGATTGCAGTGTTTTTCTTGGCAAATATTCCTTCAACTACATAGTAGGTATATTTTTCTTATCTCATTTGAAACTTTGAGTTCTCTTTGGTGTCACCTTTTGCTTTTGGGTTTTTTCTTGTTTTAATTTACCTTTTATATACATTAAGCATTTCTTTTTCTTCTGTTTTTTCTGTTTTTCATTTCAAAATATATAAATGATTGGAAAAAGTAGGTATTTTTGTGGTTTGTTAAAGAGATTAACAAGCAACTGTTTTGGAAATCAAAAAAAGATGTTTTATGGCTACAAGTTTACTTAAAAGGCACAGTATATTATTGATACTATTATCAGTTTTTTTTTTTTTTATAAATAAAGTTATCTATGTTTTCTGCATACTGTAATATTTTGATTATATTCCTCGTATTTCATCTTCTTAAATTGATTATATAAATATAATAAAGAAATGATAACAAAATGATTGCTAACTATTTAGATTTTCTTATTCTCATACTTTCGTTATACACTTATTATTACAATTCTTTTTTCTTTAATTGGTTTATGTTCTTTATATTGATTTTAGTTTTGTCATTGTAATGCAATTCAGTTTTCTTAATATTTTTTTATATAAATTTCTCTCTTAAAAACTTGACAAAAAGAAAACAAACCAAAATTACATATAATTTTTTGTGGAAACTAGAACTTTATTATTATTATTAATTTGCAAAAAACTAGAACTTCGTAAAATTGCAAATTTTTACTTTTTATCTACCGTTCTGAGTTTTCAGTTTTTTTTTTTTTTTCTTTCCCTTTTTCATTTATTAGTGATACCAAATGATACTCAAAGTTTCCGACTTCTATTGAGGAAGCGGTATGACAATTTACCGGCTGACAATGGCTTCTCGCCATTGTTGAGCTTGCAAACATCCTTTTCTCTTTAGAATTTGAAAACTCAAGTTTCAAAATGAGGCAATGAAATCTGTACCTACCACAGAGTTGGGTTTGATTTGCGGAAGGCAAATACTGTAAGCGACGTCGATCTTGTCGATCTCGAACTTTAGTTTTGTGGTGGTAATTAACAGAATTAGATTCCCATGATCACTAACAGGAGGTAGATCTTTCCAGTGAGATTGATATGTTCGGACCTGTTAATTTGTTCATTATATTTTTTTTAATCGAGCTTTATCAAGTCTCAAATTTTCAAATATGCGATAGTAAAGAAATATTGAGTATACTGCCACCATATACATGCCTCCATGTCACACGTTAATGCTTTTAACCTAGGCGGTGTACACCGGTTGATGTTCTATTAGTAGTGAGTTTATTATAACAATTTAAACAGTTAATATTTTTTAATATAGTTGTTTACTATGTGTTTACATTTTATATATATATATATATTATTTTAAATTTTGTATTTTTTAATAACTTAAAAGAAGTTAGTGCATATCAGTCTCGATTTTTTTAAAATAATTAGGTCTTAATCTATATTTCAAAATTAAAATATTATTCCACGAAATATTGATATCAAGATTTAAAAACTCATTATATTTTCTAACACAATTAATTTTTAAATTTACATATTGACATTTAATAAGATAGTTTTCAAAATTTTTAATTTATTTTTAATTAAATAAAATGATGTAATTTAATATTTGAATTTTTATTTATTTTGAGAGTCAAGATTGATATGTATCTTTTAAAATTAAAATATATAATAATTAATTACAATAAAAAATGTGTGATATTAATAATGGAGGTCGTAGAAATAGCATCACCATTGTATGAAGTTGAGACCATAGCAAGGTTATCTTGATCTCAACCTAGAACATTGAATCTTGGTTTATTGTTGGCCCATGTGTGTGACATAAATAGTTGGGCCTCCCTGGACCTACTAGGTTTGTTGGTTTTATTTTTTTTATTTTTTTATTTTTTTATTTTTTTTATGGTAGTGATGTACTATTAAATTGTGGTGTATATCAAAAACAATGAGGCATTTCAAATATCTTGTTTGGTTATCTAGAAAGTTATACAAATTCTACTCTCAATAA